AATGTCATTTTCTCAGCAATCAGTCATAAAATAATTTACCCAGTTGGAAACTAGAAACTGTTTGATGGTAGAATACAAGTTTATAGTAAAAGGATTCCAAGAAAGATAGTTCATTATAAAAAATGAGAATATATTGCTAAATTTTAGATCAGACATCAGTAATAGGTACCAGTTGCTGTTAAGTACAGCAGTTATTGCACAATGATTTCTGAGATCTTACCTGCTCTATGAATAGGGAAGCACAATCATGTCTCAGGGCTGTCTGCATGTCTCAGGGCCCATGCTGAGCCCAGGAATGTCACTAAGAAGTGCACTCTTCCAACTAGCTCCCACTCTACACATTTCACAAATCCATCTGCAGGGTGCCCTCAGAGCCCTGAGGAAGAGGCCATGGTGTGTCCTGAGATAACTCCTGATCCCTACAAGCTTCAGCTCCATTGCTGTTGTAGTGGACCTCACAGTTGTAGCAGAAGAATCTGTCAGCCCAAGGTGGTTTCTCCTTTTGGGTTGTGGAAAAAATGTTATGTCCCTCTTTCCATAGAATGGGTAAGTCTAGAGTGTCAGTCACCCAGAGATCACTCTCTGATCAGTAAGGAGACAAAAAAACCCAAACTGATTTATTATACAGAGAAAAGAATTACAAAAGAAAAATTGTCCATAAGTTTAAAGACTGAAGAACAACTACAATGTCTCGCCCTTATGTCTGGCTACACAGCACCCCCTGAGAGACCTGCCATTGTTTCCAGAGTTGAGCCTTCCTGCTTATTCTGCCAGCCTTAACTGCTGGGGACCTTGAACCTCTGAAGTCTGAGAGCTGAAGACAAACTCTGGGGTCCAAAGACATAGACTCTAAACTACCCCCAAACCACCCCCACCTTCATCAGCATTTATTCTAATTGTTCACGAGTAACCAGAAATTTTTCTCCCTGAGACACCTGACATTTTCTTTCTAGCATTGCTCTGGCCTGGTGGGCATTTTGACTCAGATGCTTGTGCTATTGTGCAGTTGTTTTTTCCCACTGCAGTCAGACAATACCTTGGGTGCCCACCCCAACAGTGACTCCTTCTGTCTGCCCTTGGGAGTGGCAGTTGTCCTTGTCCTAGTATCACAACAGCAAGAGATCCGTAGCAGTTTCACCTGCCTTCTTTTTCCTTTGGCTAAAGCAAGTCCAAACTCATAGGGATAAACACAGACAACATAGCACAATCTATATAAATGATAAAAGCAACATAAATGGACACAGCATAACATGGGCTTTCCAATGAGACCATACATGCAACAAACATAAGAAAATCACATAACACTCCACAAACCATGGTGGGGCTTGTGACAACCCAGAAATGAGGCAATGTAATAACTTTAGAGTAGCTCTGACCATGTACCAATACATACAATCAAAACAGAGATTCTGTTTACAGCACCAGGTATGTATTTATGCCCACTCTAAGACAATACAATGTCTTATTTTATGTTGCGTATTTTATGTCAAAATTCAGAGGCAAACTTCCAGGTTTGGGGTGTGACTGCATAATTGGGTTGGCAGGGTGTGGTGGGCCATGTTCAGCCTGTCTTTACTGACACCTGCAGTCTAGACGAGCAGTCCTGTAATCAAGGATGAATTGACCCTCTGATGCTTAAAAATGATAACTTCTGAATATGTACAGAAGCCCAAGTATAAGCTAGGGAACTTAGAAGTCTTAAATGAAGGTCCCTAATAAGTTTTGTGGCCACAGAAGCAAGGCCATTTTTATTGATTTTTGGAATTTAGGAGCCTAAATTTTTCCTAACTCCACTTATTGGCCTAATATAGATACTGTCTTTAGACTGTCTTTACTGTTCTCTTACACCAGACACAAAACTCTAATATATTACCTTTGGTTGCTACAGTTTTTATGTGACTAAATTATTGCAAAGCTTAATGACACATTCTGATGCTCTTGCTCATGACTAAAGGGAGTGGAGTGGGGGCATTACTGAATAAACAAAGGAGCACCAGGTGCACAGGAATCTCTGGATATCTTTTATATTTAAAGGCACAATGAATAAGCTGAGGAAAAATATTTTCAATATAAAAATTACAGTCCTACTTTTGTTAATAAATCTAGTCAAAGTTCAGTAATATAATCTGTGTCTATTTCAATTTGGTTGTGTATTTTTAGTGCTTATTTAGACATTTTTAATGAATTAGTCATGTCACTGACTGGGTACAAATCTAGGGTAGGCATTGGAGGTTCTCTTAACTTATAAGGATGAAGACTTTTCCTACAGATGAAAACTAGTTCGATGCCTGGGGAAAACATAAAGCTATGAGAAATGCCTAGAAGCAAGTAAACTTAAAAACCTTTTATGAGGACTATCCCCCAAATAAAAAAGCTTGGATTAAGACACAAAAGCAAAACATTGGACCTGTTTAGAGGGTTTAGGGAATTGTAGATGTATGTGCAAAAAACTAATAATAGCAAAAAAAGCCAGGGAGAGCAGGTAATAAGCTCTGAATCTTTTCTTCCCTTCCCGCATTTCAGTCCCTGCCCATATTACAGTCCCTTCCCTTCCTAAATCAATGCTAAAAGTGACACCTAACAGCTTAATGATTCCTAAAAGAAACCTATGAAGGTATTGCAATGATAAGAATGACTTTCCATAAAATGATTTCTAATGGATCTTGCAGTTGTAGCATCACATGAAAATCTATTTTACAAAATAGAGGGCAAAATAGAAGATTTAATAATATCTGGTTCCCATTTTTTTAAGCACATGGAAAGAAAAGAGCACAGACATTTACCTGTAAAGAAGAAAGTGATATGTACATAGGATGCTATAATTAGGTAGAAAGGTAGAAAGATGAGGTAGATTATTTAATAGTGTTTTAAATAGTTATAGGTAGAGAGATGAGGTATGTATTTAATATCATTTAAAATAGTTATATTATGGATTAGATTGTAAATTACTTTGGTAGTATTGTACATATAATTTTGGAAAAGAAAGTTATATCGTATCATCTTTTGCTTCAATTGCCAGGATATTATGATTCTGCAAAAATACCAACTGAGACAGTGAAAACCCTGCAAGCAGACAACTGCATATTAAAACCGCTGTAATATGCAAAAACACTTTTACTCACCGTATCAACAGTATAGGGACTTAGTCCAACGAACCAATCAGACCAATTTGCTTCTGTCTCCAATTATCTTGTAAATTCACTTAGTGCTCATAAAAGATGCCAAACTAGCAGCCTGAGAAGCAGAGATATTTTTTAATCACAGAAGAGAGACAGCATAGGAAGTAGCAGTACAACCTTCCTCAAACTGGGCAATTCAGCCCTGAGCTGGAGCAGTTATCTGTACTGGGTTAGAGGCAATTTGCTATGGCCTAAGTATGTGTTGGGGCCTCTGAAGCCCAATAAAATAGATTACATAATAATAAATCATAATGGTCTGAATATAAAGGGAAACTATTATGCTTCACTTTAAGTCCTAACTCTTTGAGCTTTGAACTGGACTTCTGCAATTGTCTGCAGGTTCTTCAGAAACTACTGCACAAATTCAAACCTAGGTCTGTTGGGTTTATACTACAAACTTTAAGGAATTTACATATCCTCATCGGGCTGAGTTTTGCTTCTGTTCTTTCCCTTATTAAGACAAATCCAATATTTACATTAAATAGCTAATATCTAAATGTGATTTTCATAGTCTCTGTGGTCTCTTGGCAATGACATTAGCTTCCCTTCCAGCGCTACCTCTATGACCATAAAATATGAAGTAATGGACTGACTGTATTTCAGGTTTTGTAATGGTTTCCTTAATGAGTAATGCCTGAAGTAGCCTCCACTGTAATTTAAAGTGATATAAGTATCAGATCCTGCCTAAAGACAGCAACATCCTCTCCGTTTCTCTTCCTTTTGGGACAATTTTTCCCTGTTCAATTTTCTCTCTGTATCTAGCTAGAACGAAACAATGAGCTGCTACGTGCAACCTTGCTTTCCTTACATTTTTGGTTGGCACAGTTCCACAGGTTTCTGGATGGACCCCTGTGGTAGGATCAAAGGAAATAGGCCTGAGTGTAAGGGAGCTCACCAGGTTATCTAATCCAGTCCCCTGTTCAAAGCAGGAACATCACTGACTAAACTGCCCCAACCAAGTGTCTGTCTAATCTGCTCTTCAAAATTTCCAGTCATTAAGATTCCACGATTCCTCTAGGTAGCATTACCCCTCTTAGTCAGAAAGTTCCTCCTTCTGCAGCTTGAGGCCCTTGCACCTAGTCCTGTCCCCTACAGCCAGAGAGGAAAGCTTCATCTCCATCCTTTTTGTGGGTGTGTCGACACAAGATACTTTATTGAGCAGTAGACTAATCTATGGCACAGTAATGCATCACCGTCTGCATGTGCACACATTTACTGTGCAGTAAATTAGTCTACTGTGCAGTTAGCTACTACTGTAAATACAGGTAGTAACTTAACTGTGCAGTAGATACTGAATGGTAGTGCATGCATAGACACCGACCATGTCCCAGAGGGGACAGTTCCCAGACAGCCCTGGGCTGCTCAGGGAAATCCTCATGCAATCTGGAGCTTGCTGTGAGCTACCCCAGAAGTGGGACTCTTTCTTGCCAGCTGTGGGCTGGAGCTGCCCCAGAAATGACAGTTCCTGGCCAGCCCCCAGCAGCAGGAGGATGCCTCAAGGGACATGGGGTTTGTCCCTATGTGGAGGGTGCCTAGAGAGCTCTGCAGCAGCAACTGTTTCTCAGCTCCCTGCACATCAGGACCCATCTTGATGTGCATGGGGCCACGATCAGGACCTCTCCTGATGTGAATGGGGCCAGGAGACAGCTGCCGCTGCAGTTGGCAGAATGTCCCTTTCCCCATGCACTTTGGGATGAGCCCTGTGTTGTCTGTGAGCCCCTGGGGCTGGCATCCAGGGAGAGCCTGGAGCTCCCCTGGATGCTGCAGGGGACCAGTCCAGGGTTGGAGCAACCCTGTATTAGACTGCACCTGCTGGGAGCAGATTTGCTCCCAACAGTGTACATGTGTAGATGTGCTCCCCAGGAAGGCTTACTGTGCCGTGTTTCACTATGCAGTAAGCCTTTATGGCATTAATTACACATGTCCTCATACCCTGTAAATGCCTTTCAGGTATTTGAAGACTGTTATCAATTCTCCCTTCAGTCTTCTCTTGTCTAGACTAAATGACCCTAGTTCTTTTTTGTTGCTCTCTGCTGGATTTTCTGTCCACATCCTGCAGAATTGACTGCTCTTGGAAGGTGTGAGCACTTTGATTTTTCTTCTTTGAACCTTATTCTATGAAAGAGTAGGGGGGGAATCAGTGGACCTCCCCTTCCTTCAGGCTTATGTCAAAATGGGTGTCACACAAGCAGATGCACAGGACCTCAGTGACCTTGTTCATTTTGGCTTAGTCTGTTCATGAATCCCTCCATCGTTAAGATGAGAAATTGCTGGAGTTTAATGGAGAAACAAACTGGATAAAGAGGCTCAGTGATACAACAATCAATGGAGAACTGCTATGTTAATAACCTTTGAAAGCATTGATTTGGAATGAGGATGATGATGATGACAATACAGCATTACCTTTCTGCAGTAGGAAGCCTTGAGCACCACATTTTCTTTTTACACAATTATAAAAAATCATTGTTGTGTCAGGATTTTCCAAGAACAGATAAACAAGCAATACCTTGATATTTAATTGGGTTTTTTTACTGGCATTAAAAAAATCACACTCTATTTAGCAGAACATCTAGAATTTATGGCATACCTTACTTTGTATAATGTTTTCCAAGGAAAAACAATTTCAAAAATGAAAATTACCTCATTTTGGAAATTATGCACTATTAGAATACTTAGAAAAAATATTAAATGTATTTAAACAATTGTATTGATTAGTTAAATTTAAATATTTCTTCAAACAATAGACCAATATCCCATACATTTTTCTGCACTATAAAATATGTGCAGATTGTTAGCTTTCAGTACTTGTAAAACTATATTTTACCTTTACATCAACATAATAACCACTAGTATGACTCCAGATCACAATTACTATATTTGTGAGAGAGACACTTTTTTTTAAAATTTTGATGCATATGAACACTGAAGCATAATATAGAACCTTTTCTGAAAGCAGATTTCTTTGCTTTTGTATTACAAAAAGTCTAACTTTGCACAAAACTATTTATGTAATCCTGCAGGTTTAGGATTGTTTTAATAAAAAAGGAAAATGTCAAATAAAAGAGAAATCACTCTGAAGTAGCAGTGAAAACATGAGCCTGAGCAGGAAGGAGTTGGAAAACTGCCAATTTTGTGATATGAATATTCAACAGAAAACTTAAAACTCATTGTTCTAGTAACAAAATTATAACTTCAAAAATCATTAAGACTCAAGAAAGCATTTGACCATTTTTAGTAACAAACGAGCTGTCTTCCACTTGAAGATTACAAATCTAATGCATGAAGGGTTAACAAATGTTCAATCGATGTTTTAAAATTGTTCTGTGCAGCTTGTTACAGATAATTTTAAACCCATCAAGAAATGGCTGTAGTGGGAAACAAGCTGTTTACCTGTTAAAAACCTTAACAAGCAGTGAAAATTGATTAACCATTTATTAAAATACTAATAAGCCTGTGATACACTTACCCTTATTAGAAAGTGTTTGACCATGATTTTTTTTCCGTTTAATTTGGCCAGGATCTATTCAAGTTGCATTCCCAGGTTTAGTAACACAAGGCAAAACAATGGTACACATTTTAGCCAATGGCAAAAATTTCACCGATTTTTCTAGGGCAGCATATCATCCTAAAGACTTAGCACCCAGATCCGGAATATGTGGTGTCTAAGCTTGCTGGGGGAGGGAGCAGGCCTACTGACTAGACTAGAAAACAAGGTTTGTTTCCAAACAAGAGAACATAATCAAAATTCAAGAAATGCACTGTATAAAGTAATATCCTAGTTTCAAGACAAACCTTTGAGTGAATTATTTTTCTAATTTTCCAATGAAAAAACAAAAATCTTTCCATAGTCCTTGTACTGCTCTTAACAGCAGTTTCTTTCCTAAAAAAAAATTCTCACAATTTATGTGATAATTAGGTCACTGAGCATGCAGTGAATTGAAAAACAACATAAAATACAATAGGATAAATAACTTATAAACCTAGGAGCCAGGCATTTCATAGGTTTTTACTGAAGTATACTTTATTTTAAAATAAGTTATACTTGAAAAAAATGTTGAAAACTGGTATAGCAAAGGCAACACCATTGTCCAATACCTAAACTTAGTTCTGATTTGAAGGGAACATCTTAAGACTAGAAGATTGTTCACTGCTTATATTCATACACAAGCAATTCTTGCCAGGAAGATCTATGTTCTTATCAGGCCGATCAGAGTAGTCGGACTTCTCCCACGTTTATTAAAATGAATTAAAAAAAAAATCTGTATCTCTCACTTGCTTCTTCCTGGTTTCTGTGTTGTTGCTGAGACTGCTAACAAGAGTAAAACTTGAGCTGCTTTATTCTTCATTTCCAGAAGCCATAAAAAGTGTACTATATACAATGATTGTTCAGACAATTTATAGAGAGCTGACACTTCAGCCTAAAGCCTTCTCCTTATGATCTTGGGCACAAGGGTTTATTTAAGTGGTTAAACTTGCTCACATCTAAATGTTCGTAAAATCAAGCCCTAATGTGTTAATGCCACATAACGTTCCTCTGTTAATATAAACTTAATTATAAATGTCAAGTTTAATATCTATCTATATATAACCATAGACATTCTAAAATGTATCTATGTATGTATTTTAAATTCAATTTCTTGTTTTATTATATTACCAAGAACCTCTAGTACAAGTGAAACACGTTTACTTCAAATCAGAAAGCAAGCAAAAGATTGAAAGAAAGTATACATACTACCTTGGCATAGCATAAAGGTGTTGCTTATATGAGCTTGAGAAGGCCATACTATTCACCAGAGATGGGAGTAGATTGGGACCTGATGTTGAATTCTTTTGAGCTTCATTTCTGTGATTCTTTTTTAACGTGGCATTCAGTCATGCAGACTAGAGTAATAAATATGAAGGGAGTACATTAACTAAATCCCCTAACAAAGCTAGACACCACAAAGTAAGTAAACCAAGAGTGAAATTATAAATTGCCAGAAAGTCATGTTAAAAAATAAAATACGCAAGCAAGCAACTGAGCTTGGAGCAGCTGCCTGAAGAACTAAGGAGCTGCTGAGTTCATCACCCAAGCAATCAATTGTCAAAGCATTCTCTTCACACAGTCATGTCTATTTTTTTATACTCCATATAACCCATAAACCCAGAGGCATCATGATGTCTGTGAAAATGCAAACATTATTATAAACTTACAGTTTTAAAAACAGTTTTTGGGAATGGTTATATTAGATTAACTGTCTGCAGTGCAGGGTCTTGGTACAATTGGATCCTTTACTATAGCATTGTAGCCATGAAGATAAAAAGTTGAATTGTATCCTATTTGGGCCATTTTTCTACTTAAGTAGTTGCCGTTGGGAACTCATCTTTAATTAACCATATTGAATACCACATTAACCTTTTAACATGCTACTGTAAAGTGTAGATGGGATTTAGCCCAGTGGACTAAGCACATACTTGAAAAAAACTATCACATATGATGGTACTATAGGTGATATTTATTCTTACTCCTGATTACTGTAATCTAATTATTCATGAATTCACATGTGATTTCCTAATGAAGTCTAATGAAGCAATTACTCTGAGACATTCTTTAGTTCCTACTTGGAAACCCTCATATTCCATATTGCTAATGAATTTTATTTTTTTGGTATTACATTTTTAAAACTCAGATTGTTTCTGGTTGGTAAATCACAGCATCCCTTACTTCATTATACTTTTAGTTATATATGATGTACAGTTATTTCAAATTATACAGTCATTCTGCTACACATCTGCAGGAATCCATGCATTTTCAGATGTAACCATTATCGGCTTTATAGTAAAGACTGAGTTGTTTACTTTCATATAGCAAATCAAGCATGTTTAAAAAACAGCTGCACTTAAAGCACCTATCATTTATCAAAAGGAATCAGAACTCATGGCAGAGATGACATCTTTTATTAGACCAACTAGATATTTGCACAAAAAAAAATTCTTTATTTGCAAGCTCACCCTTCCTCAGGCATAGGAGAATGCAAAGATTGTAAAATTTCTCCCAGGTAGAAATACAAATTCATAGTTCATATATCAGTTGTCATTCATATATTATTCATATATCATTTGTCAAATTGCCTAAGGTGCTCTAGATCAGAAGAAACTTTTTTGGAGTAGTGTCACTCATGTAAGAAGTGTAAAATTGTTATCATTTGATCAGCTGAAGTTGATAAGAACAACACCAAGATGTGTGTGACTAATGTTGATATTTAAAGGGAACAATCTGATAAAAACAATTCTATTACAAAGGAACAATGAATAACATAAGACATGCTTTTCTTTTGAAAAATTATAAGCAAACTTGTGGAAAAGAGAAGCTTAGACTAACACTGATAGTAAAGTGACTGATGACAACAATGTAGCAATCTACAGAATGAATATCTAATCTAGGAATATAAACAGCACATGAATACAATGTACAATTTATTGAAAGTATGATAGAGGTATACTTACTTCAGAAACTTCTCTTTAGTACTGGAGTTTAATATTATGCCTTTCAGCATGAATATAAGATTTCTTTTGTTTTTTGGAATTTTTTTCTGATGGCTCCTTTTACAGTTGTTGAGGAAATACCAAAAAAAAAGCAGGAGGTAGCAGGAAAAAGTACCATAGATAAGGGACAAACCCCCTTTAAAAGTTTTGGTTTGTTTTCCTTCTTTCAGGCCCTTCTACATGTGCAGATAAAGCTGTGATGGGATCTAATGTGTGATCCACACAATTGCACCTCCTGCCATGCCACACATTTATGGCAGGAAGCGTGACTGTGGGATAGTGCATTAGGTCCCATCTTGTCTTGTTGCTTGTGCAGAAGCAGCCCAATCTTGGGCTTCCCCTGAACTGGCAAGAATCAAGCTCCTCAAGCTCCCAGCTGTAGGTATGCCCCAAGTAACTCTGGGGCTAGGGGATTGTGGTTGCTGTGATCCCCAAGGCTCGGGGGGGGGGGGAAAGCCCTGAGCCTGAGGGATCACAAAAGCCATAATCCCCTAGAGCCAAGGGTTTCACGTTAGGCATGGTACACCCCTGTGTCTGGGAATCCTGTCAGATGATGGGGCTCCCAGCCACACATTAAAGCTCAGTAGCAACCAGCTATAAAATTAGTATACATTTTCAAGGTCTAACTTTATAGTTGGGTGGAACTTTTTTATCATGTGATAAGTACTTTGCATATGTAGGTGGTCTAAAAGTAATTGTGTTGTTAACCAGTTAATTGTGTTGTACCTATAATGTGTAGAGGAGGCCTTATTTTTATTATGCCCTCACTTTGCTGTCCACATTATTTCATTAACTATTCATTAACCATCAGCTCCCTTGGGAGAAATGGTAGGATTGGTCTTCAAAGAATGAAACAGATGTTAAAATCTGCATAAGTGATATAACTGCTAACAGCCTCACCTAGACACTGACTTCAGTGCGCTATCTTCTGTGACAGTATCTAATTCACCAAAAAAAAAGAGCTTTCAGTACTGACTGTCTTTCATGTACATGCTGAGAAAAAGGAAAATGAAAGCTTCAGACACTATCACTTCTGCTCAGTATTAGTAGACTGCTGTTAAGTAGACAAATGAATTTGGTTTTCCAGAATTCATCCATCTCCACTCTACAGTTCCTCTCTAGCTTTGGGTTTTGATTCTCCATTATTCTTCACTCTTAGTCATTTAATTTCACAGGAAGGTTCAAAGACAGTGGATGTAAAATGCTGTTAAATCAGTTTACAATAACTTGGGTGTGTCTACAAATCATGCTACTCCTGCAGCCAG